AGAACAAAGAGATCGGCGACCTCAAAGACGAGCGAGAGAAAAATCGCACCTACCTGGGTTGTTGAAGTGAGCAACCAAGCCACCTCCAAGGGCTGACGGCGCAGGCCCGAACTCCAAACCCGCAGGACAGTCAGCTCCATCGGACAGAGAGGAGAAACCCTAGCCCGCCCCGTTGGCTTGAGATACCGGACAGTAGCGCCTCAGCCCAAAATTGGATGCGCCGCGGGAGAGTCGTCCACCGGCGAGCCCGGACGACCACCGAAAGAGGCTCCAACTGGCGTGTGATTGAGCGAAGAAGACGAGGGTTCTGAGTTCGCGAGAGAAAAGGAAAAGAAAAAGTTTTCCGCAATGCCCTTATGCTAGGATAGAGTATTCCACGCAAAAACAAAAAAAAAATCAGATGGTAAAGATCAAATGTTAATACCGGATGCCGGTGGTCCGACCGATACGGTTACACTCTAAATACCGTTTTGGCCAAATACCAATTTATACCAATTTCGTACTTGGAAAATATCGGTTTTACCGGTAAATACCAGCCAAAATACCAGTTTATGCCAATTTTTTTAATATATATTCATTAATTTGTTTATATAAATTGAAAGTTCTACACTTAATTTTAAAATGTTTACATTGTTATTATATGTTAATTAATTTTATTATTTGTTAAAGTTAGTTTTGTGCATTACTTATATTATAATCACAATTTCATTTAATATTTATTAAAACCCGTAAAATAAACGGTATACCATTGGCTCGTCTAGTATGATACCGGTACGGTATTTAAAACACTCTTTGAAACATCTATAATTATATTAAAAGAATAACCATTTTAGAAGTTTCCCGCCAAGTTTTTATCTACATTACCCGCCAATTTCATTAAAAGTGTCATAAAAAATAGTAAGTGTCCAACAATTTTGAATAAGGAAACAAATAGACTGATTTTTAGGATAGAAATTTGTTATTCTCTTTTCTGTTTTTTTGGTATCTTTTCTGCCTTTAAAATCGTTTCCAACTCCAATCAAGTTTATCCCCAACATAAATCTACACGAGTTTATCTCTCATCTGTTACAAAATCCAGAACAAGCAATTTAAAAAATCTCATCCCTTATCTCGCAATTTGAAAAACCTCATCCCTTATCTACAGATTCAAAAAAATTCAAAAAATCTCATCCCTTATCTATACAGATTTAAAAAAATTCCCTTACTAATGTTTTTGCAAATATTATAAACTAGCAATACATCCTTGATAACAACATAAAAAGTATAA